AAAAGAAAAAGAAAAAAGGAAAGACAAGGGGTGGGGTGGAGGGGATTGTTCTTGCTGACACCAAGCAAATTTCCATTAGCCAAGATAGTTTCCCTTTAGACCATGGAGCACAGGAGTTAGACAAGGAGGAAAAGGAAATAGAAGAAATCGACAGCAAAGATGCACGTGTCTGCAGAAAGGTAACAGCTTTCACTCGGTGGGATGATGGCTGGGGGTGGGTAGGTGAGTCCATGAGAGAACTATCTGGGGAATGTGCTGAGGCATCATCCTACAGCTTCTTTCTTGGGGGTGTTGTGCTCTGAGTGTTTGCCTGCAGAGGTGTTTTGAGTTGGCATGAGGAATTGCTCACACTGTAGTTTCTTACTTAATGGTGCAAGCCCCAGGATAAAGTTATACCTGGGTTATAAATAATAATGGCTTCCATTGGAACCGTTAGTTGCCCTGAGTAAGAACCATCCAACGCTCATTTCAGTGGGGACTATTATGGAACCCTGGATCTTCACAAAGCTTTTCCCTGAAAACTTCCTCTGTCGTCGTCATTCCCTTCCCTCCCACCTGCTAACCCTACCGTGGCATCCTGGAGTAGGCCATTTGGGAACGGTGAGTTGGGTTCATCTATCACAGTCCCACTCTGAGGACAGTGGCTTCATTTGGAGACACTGGCTGCTTTAGTTACTGCTCTAGGTCCTTGGAGGGAAGGTGTAGGAGGCTCTCGAGTGTGGGGGGTGGGGAGTCCAGTGAAGGCAACAGGAAGAAATCCTTTGCTCACTCTCTCAAACTGTTTTTACTACGTCAAACCTTTAGATCAGTTATCTTCTGGTGACAGATACAAAATTCTCAGAGTTGCAGGTCACTGATGAGCTCAGCCCCTTGATGAGGAAACAGGCCATGGGCCACTCAGTGACCAACTGAGGTTCCATAGCCTCAAAACCGCACCCCTCAGCTGCACTCCGTGGGAAGAGTCTGCCTCAGCTGCTTCCTTCTCAGCTGGGGAGCTCCTGGGAGGCAGGTTCTTTTTGTTCCCTCTGGGGTTCCATCAGGCTTACCGTGGCAGCGTTTGGGTTTTCCCTCCGTGCCTAGACATTAGAGGAAGTGTTTCTA